AATACTCCACAGATCATTTATTATATCATTTTGAAAATGCCTATTTTGAGTGGAAGCAGAAACACGCTGTTTTTTTGGGCCTGTGTCTTTAAATGCAAATGAGCTGCTGCTCCCCGCCCCCTTTTCCAGATTAGAGCTGCGCCATTACAGCTGTACCTGCTAAAAAACATCAGTTTTGGTTCTGATTATCATGTTTATCGCGCTGAAATCATGCGTTTTAAACCATTTGAGTTTAAACTTCAGATATAAGTTTTTTTGAGCGCACGCATCCAAAGCACATGGACAAAAAGCGGCTGTCACAGCATGTGAGTACTAAACTAAGTTCTCATTCACACACAAGTTTACGTTAAAAACACACGAGTTTCCTTGGTTGGTAGATGCACCGGGGACCTGATTATAGCACTTAAATCCTGGAAAAGTCAGATTTTCATGATATGTCACCTTTAACTAAAGGTGCATTCAGTATTTTTTTTATTCATTTTAATTTTTTCTTCAGTGGTTTAAAGCTCAGAAGAATCTCATTAAATGAAATCTAATATTAAAAAAAGCATCTCTCATTATATAATTGGGTTCCTTTGTCTTAAAAGATGCCGCTAAACATGATTCATTGAAAAAATATGGTAGTTCATTTAAAATTTTATTATTTTAAATACTATACTATTTATTAATATTTTGAATTAGGTTTTATTTTTTTAAATTTCTGTTTTCATTTTAAATTTAGCTTAAGCTTTAGTCATTTTTGTTATGTGCTTATTAGAGTTTGTTAAATATTGTATTTTATATTATATTCATATTTTATTTTCAGTTCTAGTAATTTTAATACTTAAACATAATTATTTCAGTCAGTTGCCAAGGCAAGTTTTTTTACATTTAAATTTTTAATCTAATCTAATATCTTTATTTTATTTTAGGTTTTTATTTCAATTTCCAAAAACAGTTTTAAAGGGATAGTTCACCCAAAAATGAAAATTGTCATCATGTATGATCTGTATGATCTTTATGAGTTTCATCTGTATCATCTGTATGAGTTTTTATTCTTGTGTCGAATATAAAAGAAGATATTTTGAAGAATGCTGGTAATCAGACAGTTGATGGTCCCCATTGACTTCCATAGTATTTCTGTTTGGTACAACTGTTTGGTTTTTCAAAATATCTTCTTTTGTGTTCAATGTAAGAAAGAAATATACAGGTTTGGAACGACATGAGGGTGCGTAAATGATGACAAAATGTTCATTTTGGGGTGGACTATTACTCTATACTATGTTGTTGATTCTAAATGTATTGAAAACATTTTAAACCATACTTTAAACAGCATTTTATAATCTTTTATGTAAAATATTTGTTACATTTCTATATTATCATAATGTTTGTGCATGCAGTGAAAAACTGATCTATATATCTATAGCCAGTTACAGTATCTAAAACTATGCATTTTCCTTTACAAAATCCAATTATTTTTCTTCTTTTTTTAGTACTTCTAAATATTTGTTGATTTTTCAATTACCCAAATTAAAAAGCTTTTATAGGCTATTAGGCTAATGATATGATTCATCTAATGTGAGTGCACATCATTTAAAAGTACTATTGATTTCTTTAGGCATAAAACACTTCAATACTGAAAATACTTAGTGCACCTTTTAATGTTTGTTTGAAGTGATGTGTTAAATAATAACCTAATACGACCAATGTGTAGGGGTCTGGAAGCTCAAGCAGCTCTTGGTAGACATATAATCCTCTTGTTAGGGAAAGGAAATACATTAAAGTTATTGAAGAAAACTGGCAAAGCTTTTTAAACACTTCAAAGATAAATATACACAGTGTTAGATAAAACAACAAGTATGATTGATAGTCAGTTAAGATGAATCATCAAGGTTTAATTCAGTACAGTGGTTGAGTCTCAGCTCTGAATTTAGATCCTTTTCCTGACCATCTGCTCTTCTTTTCTCCCAACAGCCAAAGCTTCTTCACTGAGGGAGTCTGCCTTAAACTCCTCCAGAAGCACAGGCTTACTGCCATGTATTTTCCACAGACTTTATGCGCAGGATGGTTGAAGTTCACTGTAGGAGGACGTATCTATATGTATGTATGTATGTGTGTGTGTGTCTGTGTTTTGTATACTGGATTTCTATGTGAATGAATGTGTTTGTGAATGACCTGCAAATGAATATAGAAATACCTCAAGACCTTCCTTATGCTGCTAAACGGACTGTCAGATAATGGACTCTGAAATAAATATGCCAACACATTTCTGTTGTTTTGCTCTTTATGAATTGAGCTGCATCATCTTACCACTAGATGACACTAAACAGCTAGATACCTCCATCTTACACAGACAGGCCAAAGGGTCATTTTTTGTTTGTTGCGCTGGATGAACAGTGGTCATGCACTTCAGCGTAGATGCTGCAAAGCTTAGTTTACAGATGTCATTGAGGCTGTCATAGAGGTTGCTTCAGGAAAATAGCGTCAGCTAAATGTAAACTAACATGTCTGTATGATTGGACAAGAAGCATAAAAAAAGTCCATTTTTTTATTTGCTTTTATATTATTGATAAATAATACTTCTCATAGACAAACTTCCATGTGGGAGGACTGCGAGATGGTCCTCACTGCAGAACACAAGATCCAGGGGGTGTGGTTGGATCAGATCCAACTCCTCCCACCTTACATATACCTAAACCTACCCGTCTCCACCCCCTGATCCCTAAACCTACCCATCTCCACCCCTAAACCTACCAATCCCCACCCCCTAGATGTGGATCCAACCATGCCCCCTGGATCTTGTGTTCTGCAGTAAGGGGCTACTGAGGACTGCTGGTCCAGAATCATTTTCTGGATTATCCTCAAGCAGACCGTTTCACTCAAGGATAGGGAACTACACCACCCGGCACTCATCAGTCTCAATTTTGACATTCAGACTAAATAAGCTTTTACAGTAAGGCCTCTAGCTCTAATACTGGACCTGACAACATTTCTATTCTCGCTTTCAGAGGCTAGTAATGATGGCTGAGACTTTAGATCTCAAACCAATTAGGGTTCACACAGTTGTTGTTTTTTAGCAGTATGTATGTATATCAGGATGCTTGCTTACTAAGAATTGGTACAGATATGTCTACATTTCTGAGATTCTGGTAGATTTGTGTTAGTCTACTTTTTATGTACTCAAATCTAGACTTAATAGACTGGACCAGGGATCCTCAAATCTGGCCCACGAGATCCACTTTCCTGCAGAGTTTAGCTCTAACCCTTATCAAACACACCTGAGCATGCTAATCAATGTCTTCAGGATCATCAGAAAATCACAGGTAGGCGAGTTTGATCAGGGTTGGAGCTAAACTCTGCAGCGCATTGGCCCTCCAGGACAAGATTTGAGAAACCCTGGACTAGACTAACTATCAAATGCTGTTGATATTGATGCTTGTTTTGAATTCTGTTAATCTAGAGTTTTAAGAGTCTAAATGTTAGTAAAGAGCAGAAGGGACTTGATCTAGTCTCTAGTACCACGTATCTCTAGCACCAAGTTTTTAAGGCCGTTCATATCAAAAAGGATAACTGTAACAATAAATGTATTCCATGTCCAACAAAACCACATCAACAAAACGTTATGTTTATTGTACTGTAGGTATGCGCTGCAGTTATGTAATTTGCCACTTTAAATGCTCAAGTTTCTTAAAGTTGTGTGGATTCTGATTTTTTTTTTTTAAATGATTGTTCGTCAGCTGGAAAAAAATTGTGAAAGGGATTCCAACCATATAGTTGCCCTTATAGTTAAAGTTGTGGTTTGGACTCCACTATTCGTAAAGAAATAGAATGATTATTACAGCTTCTTAGTTACTATTATAGTTATCGTCCTTGGTGTGAACGGGCCTATAAATCGATACTAAAGCTAATATAGGACAGTTTTGAGAGTTAACATTTGCACAAGTGCTTCTAAAATTAGCTATTTTGACATTCTGACAGGCTGTAAGTCATCATGTAATCAAAATTCACCCTATTTACTTATTTACTAGATTTATTATGAACAATTCTTCAGTTATTTCAAGGAAAAACAGTTTGTCTTTAGAATATTTATCAGAATGACTTGCATTTTTCCTGAAATAACTTTTTTTGTTTGTTTGTTTTTGGATGTTAACCAATAGCCAGAGCTATTCAGGCATTTTATTCATCAAACCTGCATTCGGTCTGGCTCCATTCTGGTTTATAACGCCACTTTTCACAATTCAATCAATTTTCTGCCCCACTTTTTTTCTTGTTGAATATAACGTTTCACTTAGAAATACATCTTATTACAAAAGGAAAGCGGGCTGCGAACAGCAATCCACGTTTACATTTCTAATTAATGCAACAGAGTTTTGGTACTTTGATGCAGTCTGTGATTATTCTTGAGATTTAATTTACTGACATTAAAAAAAATCTCAATTTCTGTGTCTAAATAACAACATATAATTCAAAATACATGACAGAGAAAGACCTTTACAGTCAGTGTCATTAAAATAGGTTTACCAATATCCTATAGTCACAAGTGGAATCTAGACAACTGTATAGGAACAACAATACACAGAAGAACAAGGAATTAATTGAGTCTCTTTGGAACCTCAAGGGGAAAAAAGCTACCTAAAATGACACGATCTCATAAACACTGTAAAAACAAACACTGTTTGCACATACAAAAGCACAGATGTACTGTCAAATGCTGAGTAATGAACAGTGGAACTCTGCTCATAGTGAAATAGCCAAGGACACAGTTCAGAAGAACACACACGACAGGGGCGAAAAGCTGCTGGATGTGGTTTTAGGGGGAGCACTTGGCTTTTCTGTCTCTTTGCGAACAGACCGCAGAGATCTCAGGCCTCCTCCCACAACGCTCGTGATGGTAAGGCCTTTCCCTCCCCTCCACACTAATTTTGGATTGCAGCTGGAGAGACCGTAACTGCCCATGACTGCAGTCTGCCATAGCTGCTATTATCTGTCATTCCCTCTCCCTGAGATAATACTGTTTGTCCCATGACTGCAGTCTGCCATAGCTGCTATTATCTGTCATTCCCTCTCCCTGAGATAATACTGTTTGTGAGTTCATCCACCTATCAAACATTTAATAGCTTCACCCACTCCCTCGCTCGCTCGCAAAACAGGATGTAATTACGATGTTACTAGGGAAAGAGGTCGGAGGAAACTAAGATTGCTCCCGCTGATCCCAACCAGACCCTGTTATAAATATGTGGTTATGGTTAACACGTGAGATGCGTCCGATTTCTTTCCAGGAACACAAGAATGGAAGTGGCATTCCCAGAATTAAGGGTTCTAGAGACTGTGTGCGCTGCGCTGGACGTTCTAAATCCACGTCTGGTTCTCTAACATCATTGATTGGCGTTCTAGAACAGTCCTATCATGCCCTTCGAGTCCACCAGGACAATAACGTTGTAATCAAAATGCGTAATGTTGATATCTGGTTGGAATGCATCTAGTCATCTACCTTGAGCACAGGCCAACAAGCTTTACGCATTACATTATGATTCATAGCAGTCTCTTTAGATTCCTATGGCATTGTATATGCAAATATGATATTGGTCTTTGAGAGATCACTGCTGTATGCCTGTAGTAATAATTTAGAATCTCAGAACATGAGGGGGATTCGGCTAATCACTGCGTTTTGACCTGCGTTCAAACTTCAAACTTGATTTTCTAAATCATTCAGAAAATGATGATGGTTTGAGCTAAAAAAAATAATAATTAAAAATTCCCTCAGCCTTTGGCTTTTTATTACATCGGCGCTTCAAGTGACATCCATTCTGACAATGGATGAGTCCGCACCGACTCCAACCACCACAAGTGCAAATGAACGCAGAGTGAGAAGAGGTCTGAGTGTCCGAAACTGTTTTGGCTGTTGAATCCAGGCTCAAATCATCATTGCTTTAGAGATGAGAATGCAAGCAGATGGGACACGTCATTCTATTAAAAGATTGCATTAGCATTTCGGTTATATGTCACTCCTTGGTTGTCATGACAGATGAGCTCAAGCGGCTGAAAATGCACACGTTCTGCATTTTTTTATGTGAGGTTTAATGTGTTCAAAAATGGCTGTATTTAAATATAGTTTCATATAGATGGAAGTTTTATACTGGTATCCAACATTTAAACTTCTATAATTGCTAATGAAATTGGACCGAAAGAGTCTAGATTCAAACAGCCAATCGAGTTTAACCAGGATATGTTTTTTTTTTCTTTTCCCATTGCCATATATAGGTGGAGGATGTTTCATATACAGTAAGTGTTTCAAAACAACTTCTAATGTTCCACAGAAACGAATACTTTTTCATCATTTTCTTGTGACTGTCCTCTCAAATGCTATAGTTGCTTTCTCTTGCAATGACCAACTGCATATAGCTTTACATAAAGTGGTAAGGTTGGTCAGTTAGCGTAAATTGTGGTAAATATTATTAGCAACAAGGGCTTCATTCTATGCTGTATTCTTCTTAACATTAGCAGTCTGCAAAGCTCATGCTTATGATGTGATTATATAGAGGATGTATTAATGTTCTAACGTCTCTCAACCTATAGCTTTCTAGCTTGATCATTGAGAAATCGCAAATTGCATTTGTTGTTTACCCAGACTACCTCTAGTCACACTTAGTGGGCTTAAACTCACAGGAACATCTAAACACTCCAAGTTTAGATTCCACTAATATGGCAAGACCTTTTCACAGTATATACTTAAGTGCTACAGATTAAAATGCTGGAAAGGTTTTGCAGAAACAGCCAAACACTGAGGATGGCAAACTGTGTACTCTAGTCTCTTAGTCCGAAAGCCACAACAAAGAACTGTCTCTAGCCAAAAAGACACATCCTCCCTCAGACTACAATGGGAGTATCAGAAAAGACCGAACTAATAGAGTCTGCCACCGATTTCTTCCGCTTTCCTTTTCCCTGCATGGCCTCCTCATCCACTTCTTCATCTCCGTTAGGATTCACCTTTCCATTCTGTCCCTGCAGGTCCTTGGGGTCTATGAAGGCCACGTGCCTGTTGAGCTCTGCTTTGGTTGCCATATCCTCGTGCGTCGGGGTGGCGCTGAGCATGGAGGAGTGGATGCTGTCTTCATGCTGGTTCTTTTTGCCCTGGTCTGGACAGCAGAAGCAGCGGCAGGGTGTCAGGTACAGATAGATAAGAACCAGGACCACGCTGGCCAAGCAGCCCACCAGAGTGGTGTACGCAGTGTTGAGGGTCTCGCCGTTGCCGTTGAGGGTGAAGTTGTGGACTTTGACCACCACATAGAGCGTTTCGTTGAGGTATTCACTCACGGCGAAGCAAGTGTACACACCTGAGTCCTCAGGTCGTATCGATTTTATCTCAAGGTTGCCATTTTTCACAAACTTGTCGTTATTTGTATCGCTCTGGTTACTGTCAGGAGGCACCAATATGTTTCCAGGCAGCATCCAGGTCTTGGACATTTTCCGCTGTTTGGTATCACAGCTGAGGGTGAGCGTCTGCTCCAAATAAGCCTCTTGGTCAGTTTCTTTAAACGTGCTGCAGTTCATATGAGTGTTGAGACCGTACAAACGCAGCACCCGTTTATCTGGGCCGGGATGCACACAGGTGTGTTCGTCCTTGAAGTCCACAGCTGAATTGAGCCGTCGGATATACCAATGAGCCATCAAACTGTACAGCTCGCAGTCGCAGATGAGGGTGTTGTTGTGGAAGTACAGCCCATTCTTGATCCAGGCCGGCAGCGCCTGGAGGTCTTGAATGGGGAGAACCTTGATCCGATTGGAAGACAAGTCCAACAGGCTCAGCTTGTCCAGTCGGCTCTTGTCCTTGACGAGCTCCAGGGGGAAGCGGGACACCTGGTTCTGGCTCAGGTAGAGCTTCTGCAGGCCACTGAGGCCCGAGAAGGCTGTGCGGTCGATCTGCGAGATCTGGTTGTTGTAGAGCAGCAGAACCTCCAGATGTATCAGTGGCTCGAAAATTAACTCGTCTAGCTGTCGCAGTTTATTCGATGACAGATCCAAGTAGCGCAATTGCTTTACGAAAATGAACGCCTCAGAAGAGATGAACAACAAACCATTGTGGCTGAGCAAGAGGTTGTGGAGGTTGGGAAGTTTGTGCTTGGTCCATTGTGCGCGTAGTCCGGTTATCTCGTTAAAACTAATGTCAAGCACAGCTGTGTAGTTGGGCAGCTCGGACGGAACCATCGTCAAGTTCATCTTGGAGCAGCTGACGATGTTGCTGGCGCATATGCACATTTTGTGACAATTCAGCATTGATCCTCTGGACCTGGGGATCAGTGCGAGAATAAAGGACAAGCAGACAGCCCACCTAATGCACCACTTTATGGAAGGGGGCATCTCTGACACGCAGTTAAATTGTGGATGTAGCATAAGTCATAGAATCCTCTTCAGTAATGTGGCTGCGTAAATCCTTTCCACACTGTTTGGAGGAACAGCTTGTGGGACTGATGATGCAAATTTAGAGCTACAAGACAAAAAGAAACAAAAGCGATTTATGTTTTATGTACTGTTTCAAGAAACAAATTGTTTCAAATTGGTAACCTGTTTAGACCCCACTGTCCATTTCTTTCTTTTTCTGTCATTTAGTAATCAAATCACAGAATTTTTAGATTGTTACAAAGTAAATGCTTAATTCATTGCTGCTTTTTGACAAAATATTGTTGTTTTGAAACTGTGGCCTGTGACAGGGCAGAAAATAATAACATAATTCTATTATATTTATAATTTAGTTATATTTGAGTCAGATTATCTGCAGACCATAAAAGTTATTATATGGATATTTCGTTTTCATAGCCATTTGCCTGTAAAAATAATAGACGTCTATTGCACTACATTGCTTATGTATTGATATTCAACTTTTATGTCTGTCTGAAAATATGCCAAAGTTGTAGGTGGTGTGGCACTGTGAAGAAAAAACTCCTGAGCTGGTCGCCGAAAAAGTGCAGGTTTGAGAGGACGATCCAAATGACCGTCCCTGTAAATGTACATACTTAGCTATATAAATTATATTTATTAGTTCATCTTACTCTGATAAAATAGAATATAACCTGAGCCCTTCAAAACTATCTATTGTTCATTAAAAACATCACTCTTTTTTGACTCAATGGCCAAGTTTATGGTTGGTTAAAAACTGTTTTAGGACATGTTAGCTGGTAAAGGCTGGCAGAGCGTTTTGGACCAGAAAACAAACCAGCTACCATCTATTCATAAGGTCATCAAACTAGTCTGTTACATGGTAGCTGGTCAACGAGCTATAGCTTGCGCCAACTCATCAACTACACTGGATTTTCTAACAAGGTTTTGTAAGTAGTAGTAGGTAAGTAGAAATAAAGCACGGTCACGTTTTGTGTCCTTTGGAACATAATTCGTGTCTGAACGAGTTAAGGTAACGTGAATGAATGTGAAAACAGTATTGTCAGGTCAAGCGCGCGCTCAACGCGCACAACATTATGCATGCGCATAGGTTTACAAACAAGCTCTGACCTTTTCATTCTGAAAAGAGTAGCCTACGTGGCCCACATGACGGTATCTAAATGTACAACAACAATATGTGTTTTATTTATTAGTTTATTTATTTATTTATGTGTTTTTATGTGTTTGCATGTCAAAGGGGAAAAAAAGGCTAATTTGATAAACGCTCAAAAAAAGTGGCAAAACTCACTGTATCTCTGTGTTATGGCCTTTACGGACTCAACATGGTGTAGCATTGCACCATTTACCGTATGCATGCAGTAACCCGTGATTTTAATTGGATAAAAATGGCACAGTCCCAAAAAACGCATAAATATATTACCTGCATATTGTTGTGCTTAAAAATTGTGAGCTAATTATAAAGTAAAACATTGTCTCTTTTTATCCGTTTCACATCACATCAGTGTGACACGTCTTTCCCATTTAAAGAAAAGACAAAACGGAAACGACGAGGAAGAGGTGTAGACGCGTAGTCTTCAGAGAGACTGAAAATAAAACGTTTCAGCACGAGCGCAGAGCGACAAATGATGGCAGAGGCACCGATAGAGCTTAACACAGGCAAGAATATAACATTACGTAAAGAAATAGATTCAACGCCATATCTCAGTACTAACCTTGAGATGTATCACCGCAGAGACGCATTAATCCCTTTAGAAAGTCCATTTCCTAAGGAGCGCTAGAGCTTTTCTATGATGCAGTGTGACTGAACGGGTGTAAATAAGCGCACACACCTCTGATCAGCAGCAGCAGCATCTCTTCATGGGCGCATGAGCAGACCTGCACACACACACACACACACACATACACACATACACAAAATCAACGGCTCCTACTGGAGCACTTGAGTCTGTCTCCGCATAGGCGAATCATCCGAGAAGAGGTCCGTATTTCGGCCGTTATTTACAACTGAGCACCTAATTATACATTTATGAAAGTAGCTTATTATTTCTGGTCAATGTTTTTCAGTTCAGTAAGAGCCTATCGAATGCTACAAACAATAAAGGATCTATCTATCTATCTATCTATCTATCTATCTATATCTGGTAGATTTTAGAACATGATTATGACCAGCTTATACCAGCTAAGCCACCTATCATATTTCAAAACACAGAGTAAACTATTTAAATTGGATTTTCTGACAGGCATGAGGCAACTGCAGGGGAAATGGAATGATAATCAAAGAATAAATACGTGTACATATTTCCTTTATGCTTTTGTTTGATTTAATGTAATACTTTGAAATCTACAATTTTATCGTTTGAATCCATTATGATTACTCTTTAAAACAAGGTTCTATTACCATTAATGTATTGACTAGCATTAACCAACAATGAGCAATACATTTTGTTGTTATTAATTTTTGTTAACGTTAAATAGCTACAACTGTTCATTGTTAGTTCATGTTAGCTCAGGTCTATTAAATAATATTCACAAATACAACTTTTTATTAATATAATGTTTTAGTAAATGTTTAAATGACCATTAACTAAGATTAATAAATGGTTCAGATGTAATTTTCATTGTTAGTTCATAATAACTAATGTTAACAAATGGAACCTTAATGTAAAGAGTTATTTATGAAAAATTACACAGAGCAATATACAATATAGAGCCTTTAAATATTACATCAATAGTAAAGATAGAAATTTGACACTTGTAACAAACAAAGTAATAATCTCTTATGCAAGAGAATAAGCGTTATTCTCTTCCATGAAAACCTAGGAGAGTCGGCGACCGGCTGACACTGACGCTCCTGCAGGTTTGTAATTGCACTCTTGCATACGTAATTGCATTAGTCCAGTCTTTAATTAATTGCCTTTCTCCTTTTGTCTCATAAAAAATGTCCCTTAAAACAAGTTCAGATGAATAAAAGTCTCTGAATGCATCAACATGAAAATGCCAGTAAATAAATAATTCTGCAACTTCCCAGAATAGTGCCTCAGTGACTAATTTGCTAGACACATTTTAGCTCTTACTGATATCTGATACTGATATTTTAGCTCTACTGATACTGAGCTTGTCTTCTCTGCTGTCATGTTCTGCATTAGTTTATGGCTATATTAATAGCATGACTCGGGTTGATTTGGAAGGTTACTGTGTTCATTTGGATGAGAGTGTGTTGGCTAAATTCGTGTTCTTGCAATAACCATTGACATTGAAGACCTGCAAAATGGCATCAGGCTCTGTCATTCTTTTTTCTCTCAGATTCTCTCTCCAGCCGGAGCTTTTGAACTGTTCCATAAATCTCAGAGCCAGAGAACAAAGGTGATCACTGTAGGTGGGCTGGAGATGTTGCAGAACTAAAGGATGAATCCATATCATCCTCAATAAATCATTCTCCCATTATCTAAACCATTCCAAATGCACAAAGATTTATTAATACCTAGATTATGCTTCTCATTAAAGGATTTTACATGTCGCTTATGAAAAGAGAAGTTAGAATTCAAATCTTAAAAGTAAAGGATGGTTCAATGAGGAATGTTTAACATCCATGGAACCTTTCCATTTAACAAGAGGTTCTTTATAATAGAAAAAAAGGTTCTTTAGATTATTAAAATGAACAAAAATGTTTATTTTTTTTGAAGACCTGTTCACTGAAAGGTTTTTTAGGGAACCAAAAATGGTTATTGTATTGCATTATGTATTATGCAAACCCCCTTTTGGAAAATTTATTTTTAAGAGTGTAGGCCAAATTATACATGCATCAGTTACAGCTATCAGAATAAAACACACAATTTTTTATGTATTTTTTGAATACAGTGAAAGTTAATTGGGTCCAATCATGTTGTTTTGGACCCCACTCATTTTCATTATATGGAGATTATATATATATATTTAATAAGTGTGTGTGTGTGTATATATTATTATTATTATTATTATTATTTATTTATTTTCAAAATATCTTATTTTTCCATTCCATAGTCATACAGGTTTGGAACGACATGAGCTAGCATAAATAATGACCGAATTTTTCGTTTTAGTAAAAAGCTAAATAAAATGAAGAAATATGAAAAAATATCATGTTTTATGTAATCAAGACCACAACAGACCAAAATACATACAATCATTGAATCTGTTAGCTGGGACCTAAAGACCAGGGTTGAGTGCAAGGGAAAACTGCCAGCAGAATATATCTTAAATTATTATCACTGTTGACGTGTGAACAACCAACAAGATAAATTAGGATGCCAAACACAAACCATACATGGACATGGACAGATAGGAGTCATTCAAGTAATTAAACTTGCTGGAAATTTAAAGGTGACACTGTACAGATCCACAAGGATCCAATCACAGTCATCCACAGGCTCCAGATTGGGCCTAAGATTGAGCCTCCATTAGCCTCTTCATTAGCCCAGATGAACTGCAAAATTATGTGTGTTTTTGCAGTCACTTTCTTGCGTAATTAACCATAGTAAAATATCTGGCAGACACCAGCAGTCCAGTGCGTTTGTGCTCAGGATCATTAATGTTCTATTGGACTCCTGCTCCTGCTGTGGAGGGAACAGTGTTGCCTGGCAACTGTTGTGATTTTACATGAGCCGTGGCAGTTGGGTTGCCCACCCTCTGATTGTTGTTGGGATGTCTGCTTAGCCGGGGTTTACCAGGGAGGAAGACACAGAAAAAAATATGAGAAAATTCTGCTGTTGACATGGCAAGTCACAATATAGGATGCTCACCACTTGATTATAAATTAGCATTTAAATGTATTGAACTGAGAGAGATTGTCTTTCCTTTTCTGTTCTTGCTCTCCAACAATTACTCATCCCTCTATAGCTTACAAAGCTAAACAGACAAATGGATCCCTGTGTTGTCTCCACAATGGTAAACAGAGCTGCAGTCAACGTCTGTGCTCCACCTGGCTGACATATGCAGATGGTAAACACAATCTTTGGTCTCCGGCAGGTGCATTTGATATCAGTTGTGGTATAAACACAGCAAAACTTGAGTTTAAAAGGGTCAGTAAAAGAGATAAATGATCATTCCACATCGTTCATATCACTGTTTTTGAATCAGTATTTTTGTCTCACTTGCCAGCAAAATATCTAAACATTTTAAAAATTAGATAAAGTTGCTTTTGCAATGTTATCAAGTTTTCTCACTCTATTTGCACTTTTTTTTTGTTTTAAGTATACTAAAACCAAAATGTGGAGTAAGAAAAGAAGTCTCTTATGTTCACCAAAGCTATATATTTTATTATATAAAAAAATAATATTGTTAAATATTATTACAATTTAAAATAACTTTTTTTATTATTTTCATATATTTTAAATGTAATTTATTCCTGTGATTACATCGCTGACTTTTCAGCAGTCTTCTGTCACATCCTTCAGAAATTATTCTAATATGCTGATTTGGTTCTCAAGAAACATTTCTTATTGTTATCAATGTTGAAAACAGTTGTGCTGCTTAATATTTTTGTGGAAACCACGACACATTTTTTCGTGTCCCCCATTCTCAGCTAATAACTAAGATTTGTTCAAGCAGCTGGAGAGATTTTGCACCTGCTTTTTGGATCTAGCTGTTATCACTAGTAAGAGACTGTCCCTCTGTCTGAGTAGGCTGCTTCAAAGACACACTGCCAAAAGATTTTTACTGAGAGAGGCACACTGCTAGACTTAGTTCACTCTCCCACTCATCTCTTGTTCAGTCAGTAGTTGCACTGCAAGCATATGTGAAAATAAACATTTCCCTTAATGAGTCTCAGGCTAACGCAGGCTAACTCTAGGTCAGCAGGGAGAGCATATTTCTGAGCCAAAGCTGTTGTTTTTAGCTTTTTACGGTAAATTATAGCACTGCAAGTTGGCAGACAGTGTAGCGTTCGAATTCTGGGTCCAGTAAGGGGCCATTCATATACAGAACACATATTCATGTTTAAAAATGCTTGTAGTGTTGGAGCATAGCATTGTGGGCAGAGCTCCATATAGTGCAACAGTGCTGAGAGTCGTAGCTTTTGGTAAATCATTTGCAATTGCAGTGCAATTCAGAATGCATGAGTTTTGAGACCTTTAAAAAAAAACTCTTTTAAGAGTTTTAAGGTCTCTAAACTGGAAATACAAAACTGAAATAATTGAAAACCGTTGTTTATTAAATAAGTAGGCTACTTGAATAAGCTTGCTTGCTTGCAGTGATGGCATATTTTTGTAAGTTAGCATCACACTCATTCCTTTCAAAAGGGCCAAATAGCTTTTGGATTATTGCAGAAAATAAGTTCTGTGATCTATAAAAGCTTATGTTTTTACAGGTTTTGTTCATCATGATGATTTTCACAAACATAACTTTATGAATTTTGTCACCTAAATACAGTTGCCAGAAGTAAAAAGCTAAATGTAAGCTATAAACAAACTACACCACAGTTGTGTGACTTCAGCATCACAATCACCAAACCTCAGACAACTCTTTAAGTCTTTCTTTAAAAATAATTTCCCTGAAAATTGGAGATATAACAGTTTACATAAACATAATAAGATGTTTCTTTCGACTGTAGCTGGGATTACTACAGCTGCAACATTTACAGTCAGCAAAAGCTGTTGTCATGGAGTATTTCATAGTTTCGAATACTGTGATTATGAAAGCAGAATTGCCTTCTGGCCTGGTATAGTGAGATTTTACAGGAAAGGAAATACATTTGCTCTTGGGAGAAGATTTGCAAGCCATTTCAGGCCACAAAACAATTTCTCTCCAGTACAGCAGCATCCAATCAGAGTAATGT